ACTTTCTACTTTTAAACTCGGACAAAACAGAGATGCTTGTTCTAGGTCCCAAGAAACAAAGAGATCTTCTGTTAAATCTGACAATTCATCTTGATGGTTGTAAAGTCGTCTCAAATAAAACTGTGAAGGACCTCGGCGTTACTCTTGACCCTGATCTCTCTTTTGACGAACATATCAAGACTGTTTCAAGGACAGCTTTTTTCCATCTACGTAACATTGCAAAACCCAGAAATGTTCTGTCCAAAAATGATGCAGAAAAATTAATCCATGCATTTGTTACTTCTAGGTTAGACTACTGCAATGCTCTACTTTCCGGCTACCCGGATAAAGCACTAAATAAACTTCAGTTAGTGCTAAATACGGCTGCTAGAATCCTGACTAGAACCAAGAAATTTGATCATATTACTCCAGTGCTAGCTTCCCTACACTGGCTTCCTGTTAAGGCAAGGGCTGATTTCAAGGTTTTACTGTTAACCTATAAAGCGTTACATGGGCTTGCTCCTACCTATCTTTCCGAGTTGGTCCTGCCGTACATACCAATACGTACGCTACGGTCACAAGACGCAGGCCTCCTAATTGTCCCTAGAATTTCTAAGCAAACAGCGGGAGGCAGGGCTTTCTCCTATAGATCTCCATTTTTATGGAACAGTCTGCCTACCCATGTGAGAGACGCAGACTCGGTCTCAACCTTTAAGTCTTTACTGAAGACTTATCTCTTCAGTAGGTCATATGATTGAGTGTAGTCTGGCCCAGGAGTGTGAAGGTGAACGGAAAGGCTCTGGAGCAACGAACAGCCCTTGCTGTCTCTGCCAGGCCGGTTCCCCTCTCCACTGGGGTTCTCTGCCTCTAACCCTGTTGCAGGGGCTGAGTCACTGGCTTGCTGGTGCTCTTTCATGCCGTCCCTGGGAGGGGTGCGTCACTTGAGTGGGTTGAGTTACTGACGTGATCTTCCTGTCTGGGTTGGCGCCCCCCCCTTGGTTTGTGCTGTGGTGGAGACCTCTGTGGGCTATACTCGGCCTTGTCTCAGGATTGTAAGTTGGTGGTTGAGGATATCCCTCTAGTGGTGTGGGGGCTGTGCTTTGGCAGAGTGGGTGGGGTTATATCCTTCCTGTTTGGCCCTGTCCGGGGGTTTCTTCGGATGGCGCCACAGTGTCTCCGGACCGCTCCTGTCTCAGCCTCCAGTATTTATGCTGCAGTAGTTTATGTGTCGGGGGGGCTGGTGTTAGTTGGTTATACCTGGAGTACTTCTCCTGTCTTATCCAGTGTCCTGTGTGAATTTAAGTATGCTCTCTCTAATTCTCTCGTTCTCTCTTTCTCTCTGAGAACCTGAGCCCTAGGACCATACGTCAGGACTACCGGGCATGATGACACCTTGCTGTCCCCAGTCCGCCTGGCCTTGCTGCTATTCCAGTTTCAACTGTTCTGCCTGCGGTTACGAAACCCCTACCTGTCCCAGACCTGCTGTTTTCAACTCTTAATGATCGTCTATGAAAAGCCAACTGAGAGACCTGAGCCCTAGGACCATACGTCGGGACTACCGGCCGTGGTGACTCCTTGCTGTCCCCAGTCCGCCTGGCCTTGCTGCTATTCCAGTTTCAACTGTTCTGCCTGCGGTTATGGAACCCCTACCTGTCCCAGACCTGCTGTTTTCAACTCTTAATGATCGGCTATGAAAAGCCAACTGAGATTTATTCCTGATTATTATTTGACCATGCTTGTCACTTATGAACATTTTTGAACATCTTGGCATGGTTCTGTTATAATCTCCACCCGGCACAGCCAGAAGAGGACTGGCCACCCCTCATAGCCTGGTTCCTCTCTAGGTTTCTTCCTAGGTTTTGGCCTTTCTAGGGAGTTTTTCCTAGCCACCGTGCTTCTACACCTGCATTACTAGCTGTTTGGGGTTTTAGGCTGGGTTTCTGTACAGTACTTCGAGATATTAGCTGATGTAAGAAGGGCTATATAAAATAAAATTGATTGATTGATTGATTGAGGAAAAAAATTCCAGAAAATCACATTGTAGGATTTTTAATGAATTTATTTGCAAATTATGGTGGAAAATAAGTATTTGGTCACCTACAAACAAGCAAGATTTCTGGCTCTCACAGACCTGTAACTTCTTCTTTAAGAGGCTCCTCTGTCCTCCACTCGTTACCTGTATTAATGGCACCTGTTTGAACTTGTTATCAGTATAAAAGACACCTGCCCACAAGCTCAAACAGTCACACTCCAAACTCCACTATGGCCAAGACCAAAGAGCTGTCAAAGGACACCAGAAACAAAATTGTAGACCTGCACCAGGCTGGGAAGACTGAATCTGCAATAGGTAAGCAGCTTGGTTTGAAGAAATCAACTGTGGGAGCAATTATTAGGAAATGGAAGGCATACAAGACCACTGATAATCTCCCTCGATCTGGGGCTCCACGAAAGATCTCACCCCGTGGGGTCAAAATGATCACAAGACCGGTGAGCAAAAATCCCAGAACCACACGGGGGGACCTAGTGAATGACCTGCAGAGAGCTAGGACCAAAGTAACAAAGCCTACCATCAGTAACACACTACGCCGCCAGGGACTTAAATCCTGCAGTGCCAGACGTGTCCCCCTGCTTAAGTCAGTACATGTCCAGGCCCGTGCTAGAGTGCATTTGGATGATCCAGAAGAGGATTGGGAGAATGTCATATGGTCAGATGAAACCAAAATATAACTTTTTGGTAAAAACTCAACTCGTCGTGTTTGGAGGACAAAGAATGCTGAGTTGCATCCAAAGAACACCATACCTACTGTGAAGCATGGGGGTGGAAACATCATGCTTTGGGGCTGTTTTTTCTGCAAAGGGACCAGGACGACTAATTCGTGTAAAGGAAAGAATGAATGGGGCCATGTATGGTGAGATTTTGAGTGAAAACCTCCTTCCATCAGCAAGGGCATTGAAGATGAAACGTGGCTGGGTCTTTCAGTATGACAATGATCCCAAACACACCGCCCGGGCAACGAAGGAGTGGCTTCGTAAGAAGCATTTCAAGGTCCTGGAATGGCCTAGCCAGTCTCCAGATCTCAACCCCATAGAAAATCTTTGGAGGGAGTTGAAAGTCCGTGTTGCCCAGCGACAGCCCCAAAACATCACTGCTCTAGAGGAGATCTGCATGGAGGAATGGGCCAAAATACCAGCAACAGTGTGTGAAAACCTTGTGAAGACTTACAGAAAACGTTTGACCTGTGTCATTGCCAACAAAGGGTATATAACAAAGTATTGAGAAAACTTTTGTTATTGACCAAATACTTATTTTCCACCATAATTTGCAAATAAATTCATTAAAAATCATACAATGTGATTTTCTGGATTTTTTTTCCTCATTTTGTCTGTCATAGTTGACGTGTACCTATGATGAAAATTACAGGCCTCTCTCATCTTTTTAAGTGGGAGAACTTGCACAATTGGTGGCTGACTAAATACTTTTTTCCCCCACTGTATATACAGTGATAGAGTGGGGATTGGAACCAGGTGTGTGTAATGGTGACGAGACAAGTCCGGGGTTGATGAGTGAAGGGCGTTTGCCAGCAGCAGGTTCGGCAGCAGCTAGAAGGCCGGCGACGACGAACGCCTGAGCTGGACAGGAGGGGAAGCCAAAGCGAAGGCTGGTGTGACAATTTTGTTGGTGGTGCTCATAAAATTGCTCATAACTTTAAAGGCAGTGGAGAGCCCACTCTGGAAATTTGACGTTGTTTAAAACAATATGTCAAAGAATTTACAAAATCAAAAAGGGTACTTTTGAGATAATAATATTAATAGTTTTAATGTTGAATAAAATAATGTGTGAAACTGTATTTCAGAATGTAGCGATACCCCATATTTTAGATTAGGCCCCTTTTATCATGATTAAAAAAAGAAGTTCATGTTACAAAAGTAATAAGCATATCAAACATCCTTCCTCCCAATTAAGTTTTTATGTGAGAATTGCCAGAACAATCTGAGATACAAAAATATTTTCGGGCCATGCTGGCATGGTATGATCGCCATAGGCCTTTTTTGTACTTTTCTTCCTCCTTTCTTCTCAGATTGAATTGTGTAATTTGAAGAACTGCTTTATTTACATGAATAGCATTCCTGAACAAATTTCCAAGGAACCGTGGTGAAAAGGCCCACACATACTTTCTCTTTGTCTGCTAACCTACACGTACCCTCAGCCGTTCTGTATTCCCGCCACTCTCAAGCACACACACACTTGTGCGCACTCATTAAAAAAAAATGTTTTCCTTCTCTTCACCCCCACCACCTCCGCACTCTCTCCCACCCACTCTCGCTCACATGCACGCACACACACACACACACACACACACACACACACACACACACACACACACACACACACACACACACACACACACACACAAACACACACACACACACACACACAACACACACACACACACACACACACACACACATACACACAAACACACACACACACACACACAAACACACACACACACACACACACACACTGCTCTGCCATTAGTTATTTAGTGAGTTTCACTACTCTAGCCTTACATCATTGTTTGCATTGGCAAGGCTGTTTTGTGCTTCTAAGGTTTCAGGCGACAGAGAGATGAGATGATAACAGAGCAGAGCCATAAGGCTGACTGAGAGAGAGAGTCCAAATAGTGATGAAGCCTTTGTTTCTCTCACACAATGAACCTCTCTTCTCTGACACACTGTCTGGCGTTACATCAAATCTCTGACCCACTAATCGACAATCATACGTTTGTCCCCTGGGTTTTGATGGAAAGTTTTGCTCACTCACTAACTCTCTCAAGTAAGCGTTCAGATGTAGCGAGATTGGTTCATGCATGGTTCGGTTTGATGTCATAGCTATTACTTAATAGCTGTTTTGAGAGGCTGCTCATTATACTGAAAAGATCCATCTTTGACAGTTATTGGCAGTCCTACCAGCCAGCATAAAACCAACACCAGAGAAATGTCAATGGTCATTATTCTCCACTGCTTATACTACATGTGCACTTAATAAGTCAGACATCAGACACACCCACTTTTAGTTGTTGCATCATCAAAAGAAGACCGAAATGTGTTTTTTACATCATCAGGGCTGTTGAAAGATGAACCCTCCTCTCCTCCTGTTTTCAGTGCACTCCTCCGATGGAGGTAAACGACCTGTTCAGAGATATCCAGGATGGAAGGATACTCATGGCTCTGCTGGAGGAACTGTCCGGATGCAAGCTGGTGAGATTTCCACCAACAATATTACACCATCCACACAGTATTCAGATGTTAGTGATGCTTTGTTGGTTCATTTGTATGTGTCACAAATGACATCCTAATCCCTATAGGCCCTGGTCAAAAGTAGTGCACGATGTAGGGAATAGGGTGCCATTTGGGAGGCAGCCCATGGCTATGCTAGATATGAAGAAGTTGTGTGTTAAAGATTGTGTTTGAGTTCGATTTCGGTGGCTAACAATTCACCCAGCTGTTTATTGTATGGTTGGGGTCCTCCTCCAGCTTCATGGATGGAAACAGTCCTCACATCGTATATTCAGACTGAACAACATCGCAAAGGTCCTCACCTTCCTAGAGGAAAGAAATGTGAGTATCACAGCCAATCACCAAGGAATATCACAGCCAATCACCAATGAATCACCAATCACCTATGAAGGGAAGTGGACGGCAGCTTTATTCCCTTCAATGATATTTATAGCTGAAGCTGTCCGGACAATTTTTTACATCTTGGTAGGAGCATCAGAACACCACTGTCTAAATATCCTGTTGATTGGTTGGATTGTTTACCTGGGTTTATTTACCTGCACAGGTGAAGCTGGTCAGTATTGACGCTGCAGATGTCGCCGATGGCAACTCTTCCATCGTTCTCGGACTCATCTGGAATATCATCCTGTTTTTCCAGGTAAACTCTCTCTCTCTCTCTTTCTGTCTCTCTCTCCTCTCTATTGCTCCTCTCTTTCTCTCTCTTTCTCTCTCTCTTTCTCTCTCTCGCTCTCCTCTCTCCTCTCTCCTCTCTCGCTCTCCTCTCCTCTCTCCTCTCTCTCTCTCCTCTCTCTCCTCTCTCTCCTCTCTCTCTTCTTTCTCTCTCTCAGATATTAAGTAATGAAATAAGTGCCTACTCTTCCTCTGTCTCTCAGATCAAGGAGCTGACAGGGAACATTAAGAGCCAGTTCCCCTCGTCCTCCAGCCTCTCCTCGCTCGCCACCAGCTCCGACTCCGACATCTCCCACTCCAGTACGCCCTCCGATGAGAGGCCGCGCTCCATCGCCATGAGGGATCATGGGAAGGCCATCAAGACGCTCCTGCAGTGGGTCCAGAGACGCACCAGGAAGTGAGTTGTGATTGGACAGCAATCATATGTCAAATTCATAAGAGACAAACTCACAAATAGGATAGGGTATTTGATGAACCTGTGAAAATCCAGTACAGGCAACAGCAAATACAGTAATACTTACACACAAGTTTGAAAGTTTGACTGCAATCATGTTCAAGTGTTTGTGTCAGATGTTGCTGACTTGCCGAGTCTTGTCTGTCTGTGTGTGTCAGGTATGGTGTGGCGGTGCAGGACTTTGGGAAGAGCTGGACCAGTGGGCTGGCCTTCCTGGCCATCATTAAGTCTATTGACCCCAGCCTGGTGGACATGAGGAGAGCTCTGCTGAGGACAGCCAGGGAGAACCTAGAGGAGGCCTTCAGGACAGCCCACTACAGCCTGGGCATACCCAGACTACTGGAACCAGAGGGTAAATTATTCAATTAAATTCAGTTCAATTTAATCCAATTCAATTCATTGAGACTTTATTCATTGCCACAAGGGGCAATTATGTTGGCCTGGTCCCAGATCTGTTAGTGCTAAATAGCCCACTCCTATTGCCGTTGTCATGCCAAAATACATGACAATGGCCATAGCAGTTGACAAGACAGCACAAAGAGATCTGGGACTTGGCTACAATTATGCTGTACAATCAGAGTGTATTAGAAGATTTACCACTAGTCGATCTTAAGTCCCTCTGTTATCATTCCCACATTTCCATCTCCACAGACGTGACCATTAACCCTCCAGACGAGCAGTCCATCATGACCTACGTGTCCCAGTTCCTGGAGCACTTCCCTGGGATGGAAGAGGTGAGAGAGACTCAAGGGGTGTCCCAAGGTCTCTGGTCAAAAGTAGTGCACTATATAGATAATGCGGTGCGATTTAGAACACATTTAGAGTCTGCATGATATTAATCTCATGATCAATATATGATGTATACAGTAGTTTAAACAAACCACTAGATCAGGGGTGTCAAACAAATGTTGCCCCGCGGGCCGCATACGGTCTTCACCGAGGCCTGGAGGGACGCACTTAAAATGTATTATATTTCCTTTATCCATCGCTTTTTGTTTCCCTGACTGTCTAGCTTTCGTTTCAATGACTGTTAGCAAGCTGGACAAAGTGAAGAGACTATAATTGTCGGTCTATTATGATTTCTACACAGTTTTGATTTGGTTTTAGTCATTTCAATGTTGATTAAGATTGTAAAAAAATATATATATATAATAATAATTGATTGGGCTCGTGGGCTGGATGTTTGACACTCCTGCACTAGATACACAAACCACAGATAACCTGATAAATCTCTCTATCCTCTCTCTCTGTCTCTCTTAGCCCCATGAGAATGTATCTGATGTGATACAAAGGAGTGTGTCGTCAGGTAGACTCAGCTGTCGTGTCAACGACTCCTCCCACGACCTGAGGAATGGGGTTCACCTTAGCCGGGGCCGAGAGAGGCCCTTCGTGGTCCGGAGGGACTTGGTCCAGCCCCCACCCAAAATCTTCCTCTCCTCTTTCTCAGAGGAGCTCAAGTCCCCCACATCACCGCCCATGGTGGAGCGCTCCCCGGTCAACGAAGGCTCGTTGGTAGGGTCCACCCCCAGCCCTGTCTTCAGCTCTCCGCAGCCCTCCTTTGTCGACTCGGTCATCAGCTCTGTGTCCTGTGACTCAACGATCAGTGACTCTGTGATCGGTTCGCCAGACTCCTGTTGGGAGCGCCTGCCGAGCGAGGCAGTGATGCCGGACAGGTTTGTGGAGAGCCGTAGCGACGGGTCGCTATGCGACAGCGGGGAATCCTGGGACATGAACATCCCTCCCTCCACACCCCATGGGGTCACACTTGATCTGGAGGATCCGTTGCCGTCGGTTATGGGGCCAAAGACAGGGAAGCCTCAAGATGAGGAACAGGAAGTGATGCCGGAGCTGTTTATCGACGAGGGGAACTACTCTCTGAGCTCAGTGGAGAGCACACAGGACAGGGCCAATACACAACCAGAGGAAGAGGAGGAGGAGGGGAGGAAGAAGAAAGAGAAGGAAGACGAGGAGGAGGCATATAGCTACATTCTGGAACTGAGTGAGGACAAGGCAGCCAAGCAGGAGCCTGATCAAAGAGAAGGAAAGAACATAACAGAGAGAACAGAAAGTGACTCAGAAGGAATGGACACAACTACAGGTCAGAGTAATGGAGTCAACAAGGAGCAGGGGCGGCCATCTTTAGAGTTCTCTGACAAGCCTCAGCAGACTGACTCTGACCAGAAAAGGGAGAGTGTGTGTGAGGGTGAGAGTGTGTGTGAGGGTGAGATAGGAGGAGCTGTGTGTTCTCCTCAACACGAGGAAATCAGCCAATCACAGCAGGGGACCCCTGACCTGTATGAAAAGCCAAATCAGCAGGACAGTGTCCTGGAGAGGACAGACAGAACATCAGAATGTGCCAAGAAGGAAACAGTGGAACCATCTACAGATTCCAGGAAGGCTGGAAACCCAGAGAGAGGCTTAGCTACGGAACGTTCTGATAAAGCAGAGGGTCAAAGGGATGTGACTGACAGAGTGGTGACGGAACACAGACCGACTACGTCCCTGTCAGAGAGGGACAGAAATGGGGAGCGGTCTCAGGAGGGGTCAGAGGAAAGGCACAAGCAGGTCACAGAAGAGTCCGAAACACAAGAGAAGATAAAGAATGTTCTGAACGGCCACATAGAGTCACAGGAGAACACTACGACGCAGGCGGATGAGGTCACAGAGCAGTCACAACCGTATATGGGGATGGACCAGAGTCGGACCATCCAGGGGGGATCCTCAGACCCAGGTATGAACCCAGAAGAGGAGAGCCATACTGGACAAAAGGACCCTGAATCTCTGGCCTGCACAGACGGTCGGCAGAGCTCCACACTTCCAGCAGAGGACAGAGAGGAGAGGACCCAGAGCCCAGAGAGAGAGGCAGAGGCTGGGGATGAAGACCCAGACCTGTGGGGGCCCCCTGGAGGTGGCTTGGTTGAAAAGTGTGAGATAGCCCCTTGTGGTGGAGATGCTGAAGTGAATGTAGTAGCTCCTGAGAAGAAGAGCAGGGGCAGAAAATGGCCATGACAGGGTGGATGCTACTGGGTCTGGGGCCACAGACAACAGAGAGACAGTAGTGGAGGTCCCCCATCAGGGCACGCCAGTGTCCATTATCCCCCTGGACATGGTGTACTACCCCCACTATGATGTCCCCATTTCCCATGTCATTGAGGCCTTCGTGGAGTCTAACCCTGGACTGGTCCTCACTGGGCCGGTTCCTCACTCTCCTCCCTCAGACACACACACCAAGAACCAGTCTGTATCCCTACCGCCTGGTCAAGAGAGAGACATAGAGAAGGATGCAGAGGATCATACTGAGGGCAGTCATAGTGAGACAGGGGCCTCTGCTGTTGAAGAGACAGGGGACAAAATGGCAGACACAGAAAAGAGGGAAAACGAGAGTGTCGATGTGGCCTATACAGACAGTGAGAGGAGCAGTGCTATTGAGAAGCCTGAAAGTGAACCAATGGACTTGTTCCAAGCAGACAGTGCTGCTGACAGCAGTGGGGCACTTGAGGAGACAATGACATTGGGTGAAACTCTGGATCCCATGGACCTGTTCTACCCGGATACAGATGACTGTGGTCCTGTAGAGGAACCAGAGAATGACGTGGAGACATCGCCGTGGTCCTCTTCCTTCAGCAAGTCAGTAGAGACCTGGCCCTCAACCTTTAATGTTGCAGCTCTACAACCAGCACCGTCCTCAGAACCAGAACCAGAGACACACATAGACTCGCACACACATAGCCAGACAGAGACACATACAGAGACACACACACACAGCAGTCCAGACTCACACATAAAAAGCCAACTGGATCAAGAAGATCTCAGAGAGGAGTCAACAATGCAGAAGCAGGATAAGGTAAGCCAGTGTGTATGGAAAACGAGGACAGATCTGTGTGTGTGTGTGTGTGTGTGTGTGTGCATGTATGCACGCGTCCTGCGTGTGTGTGTACAAGGTGATCCAAACAACATCAGACAACATCAGAGTGACGTGATATTTCACACATACACTGTCTCATTATATGCAATAATCTGTCAGCATGTGTTATTATCTGTCATCCTTTTCTCTGGTCCTATCTGACGTGTCTGTCTGTCGGGGCGTCTGATAATATATGCATTGTTTTGGTGCTAGATGTTCTGCATACCAAGTCATATTTAGCAGTCAGTTTATAAACTGTTTTGACCCACCATGAATCATGAATCAATCATGAGAACATTACCCATGATTTAAAGGAGGGACATTGGAGCTAATGTTCAAGACAGTTAAAGAGAATGAGTGAAATTTTTTATCAAGTGCTTTATGACTACTAGGGCTGGGAATTGAAAGGGACCTCATGATACGATATTATCACGATACTTAGGTGCCGATACGATATGTATAGCAATTTTTACGATTCTATATGTATTGCGATTCGATACTGTGATTTTATTGCAATTTGATGTTCCAAACATATTTCTCACTATGTCTTCTGCAGAGACAAGAGAGAGCATGATAAATGAGATTTGATCAGTCATGGAAATAAAAGTGCTGAAAACATGTTGGCTCATTATTTAAAAAGAAGATATAGGATGAAAAATACTGGAGTTTTGGCGCAGGTACAGCCGACTAGCGTTAGCTAATGCTACCTAGCAAAAACAAAGAAAGAAACAAAAACATACATATATATATATATGTATTTTTTACAAATCAATACTTGGTGTCAAAGTATCTATATAATATCGTCCAAAATAATATTGCGATATGTAACTGTATCGATTTTCCCCCATTACTAATGACTAGCCAGTAACCCTTTACCCCCACACCACTACATCCATACCCTATTATCCTACCCAACAACCTACACCTTCCCGTTACACTCTAAAGTAGTCTCTCCCCCCCCTATGTGTGCCCAGGAGGTTGAAGTGAGAGGGGGCTCCAGGCTATCGGACCCACAGGAATGGCGCTCCGTGCTGGGGGAGCAGACGACGGGAGATGGGGGTGTGGTGGAGACAGAGATGGAGACCCGCCGTGGAGATGCTGAGAGCAGTGATCTCACCAGGACTGATGAGGAGAAGCCTGCCTCTGCTGCTGCCAGAGAAAACAATGAGACCATGAGGTAGGATGCTATTCTTAGGCCCCTGGTACAGCTGGGCTGTGTCCCAAATGGCACCCTATTCCCTTTATAGTGCACTACTATGGGCTCTGGTCAAAAGTAGTGCACTATATAGGGAAAAGGGTATCATTTGGGACGCAGCCTGAGAAACACAGCACAGAACATTATTTTGGGGGAAAGCAATGTTAAGCAACGAAGGACATGACTTCAGAACTGGGCCTCCCAGTTTGATAGAGCAAAACGCCTTAAATGTACTCAATGAAATGTGTTTAGATCTGGCTAGTCATTGAAATTGGAAGCTAATTTCCTCTCCACTAACATTAAGAGGCTCTAAACAATTCAAATTACATAATGACATACAGTAATTCAATGATATAATCTGTGCTGATGACTGATTCTGAAATGTTTTATTGTAATGATAGTGGCTTTTTTTTATCTGCTTTAATGAGTGAAATGTACAGTATGTTAGTAACTATGTAAATAATAGCTATAGAAACAAGATGTTTTCTTTGTTCTGAATAATAGTGTTCATTCATTTTTTATCTAGAAGAAACACAAATATAGCACTCTCTCTCTGTCTCTCTCTCTCTGTCTATCTGTCTGTCTGTCTCTCTCGCTGTCTCACTCTGTCTGTCTCTCTCTCTTTCTCTCTCTTTGAACAGGATGGAAGCTGACAGTGATGGAACCACAGATGAACAGTGTTCTATGTGTTCTACACCACTCCACCAGAGGAAGGTGGCTGGCTCTAATGAGGTTAGTTGCAAAACATTTCAGATATTTAGGATATTTATTATTTCCTATATAAGTATTATACCATAAGATGAGCCTACAAACAATACCTGTGCTTTTATCATCATCACTCATGTTTTTGGGATTGTAATCCCTCTGTCCCGTAGAAGGACAATCAGAAGAATGGGGCATCCAGCCGAACTCACAGTACCAAGTCTGACACCAGGTAAGGATATGAGTCAGTAGGCGTGTAGCATGACTGTATTTACAGTTATAGCTCCTTCTGTCCAAAACAGAGGTTTGTTGCACGAACCGTTGCTCTCTTACTCACTTGTCTGAGCTCTCTTGCTCACTTGTCTGAGCGTAAGTCACTGGGTGTGGCGATCGTGCAGTTGCCATGACAACCCTCCTGCATGAGTGTCGAGGTGAGGCATCGTGGGAATCAGAGACACACGATATTCGACTGATATCATCACTCCTATGGGGCACAGCTTGGCTGGTGTTGTAATCGTGTGAAACGTTTACATCATTACATCATCTACAGCCCTCTGGGGAGGGAGATGCCATACAGATAGGCTGCATCCCAAATGGCACCCTATCTCCCTTTAGAGTACACTACTTTTGACCAGGGCCCATGGGGTGCCATTTAGGTCACAGCCATAGAGATAAAGGAGCACGGCTGTCTGTAGCTCAGGGAAAAAATATGTTGTGTTAGTAGTTATTAGGAGGACCCGGGAGTAAATCCTGACCACGTGACCTGACCAAGAACAACATCGGGTGCTAGTTGTATGAAGGGTATAACTAGGGCCCATAGTAAACAACTAGGGCCCATGTCAAAACCCCTGTACCTAGTTACAGTATTAGTATGAGATTAACCTTGTCCCATATCTGTTTTTGCTATTGCAAACTCCATTGCTCATGACAATGAGTGGCAAGGAGTTGGCATTATAGCACAAACAGACTGGCATTCAGCCTATCCCAGACATAGTTCAATTATTAGTATCAGACAGCTGTTCAACATGAAAATAACTCTTCAGTCTGGATAAATTAAATCCATCCTGGGCTTTTGTTTTGGTGTCACTAGAGAAGCCTAACATATAACTGTTTTTTATATTCTAATATTTTATTCAACTTTTGACCCATTTTACCCTGAATTCTAGCTCTGCCTTTTATGTTGACATTATCTCTTCCCAGCTAGCACATAAAGTTCTGAGAACCATATGTTTCTTAGAGCTTGGTGAGAGCGTGGTTGTCCTATGATTATTTTGCATCTAACCTTCCCACAACGTTCTGGGAATGGTGCAGGATAGCCAGCTAGCACATAACATTCTGAGAACAATATGTTTCTTAGGTGGGAATTTCAGTACCTAAGCTGTAACGTTTCCCACAGGTTTCCTGATGGTTCTATTTAAAGTAATGTTCTCAGAACGTTCAGAGAATGTTAAGAAACAACGTTCTTCTGTGGGAATTTCAGTACTTCACCATAACGTTTTCTGCAGCTTTCCTCATGGTTCTATTTAAAGTCATGTTCTCAGAACGTTAAGAAAACTTTCCGTAAAAACCACAAGAAAACATTAGTAACGTTAAAAGAACGTTCTAAGAATATTATTTAAAAACATATACATTCCATTCGCAGCATAAACAATACTCTCTTTAGCCTATCTTGTTAAGTGTGTTCAGGTGTGTTGGCCATGCCCACTAATTGGCCACACCTAATCTTAATAAGTGTTGGTTTCCTTTGAAATGGGGTCTGCTTGAATAGACTACAATGAACAGCTTTGTATAAGTTTTAGAAAAACATGGCATGCTAGCTCCATCCTGGTGGCGCAGTAAACTAATTCCATTGATAGAGAACAGAAGTTCATAGGTTCAGAATCTCACTGATGCCGTGGCACAATACAACCAACAATGCAACCTAAAAATTAAAGTTCCCAGAACAGGCAAAGTTTTCACTTCTGTTCTCAGAACATTTAAAAAACGTTATGGCTTCGTTCCCAGAACCAATAGGAAACCAAAAATGTACATTCCCACAACTTCCAAGGAACCAAATGTGCTAGCTGGGTTTAAAGTCTGTTTGGTTCTGTTGACCTTCTGCTGAACCCGGTTCTCTCTCTCTCTCTCTGTGTGTGTGTGTGTGTGTGTGTGTGTGTGTGTGTTTGTGTGTGTGTGTGTGTGTGTGTGTGTAGCTGGAGGGAGATGAGGACTCCTACTTCATTGACAGAGTACTACATTCTCCTACTGCTGTGGCTGCTCCTCTACTGCCTGTTGGTGCTGCAACAGATCGACTACAGGGACCTGCCACGCCTTCTGCTCAACATGGAAAAATGAATACACACACACATACTGCGACACATGTACATACTGATACACACGTCACAAACATGTCACACACACACGACACACACACGCACGTACAAACAACACTTTTTTATTCCAGAATAATTTATAAAGCTGTTTAGAGATTCTGCTCTTTAGCTTTTAATGTGGCTTGAATTGATATGCTTAAATTGTAAAGAATTGATATGCTTGAATTGTAAAGACAAACCTATAACTTTGTATGTTTCTCTGAGTTTATTGATGTACAAAGAAAGAAGCTCTCTAAGGGCTCTCTATTTAATCCCTATCGCTGAAGATCCGCTTTATAGCGCGATTGACAATTAAAGGCAATGTTCCTGCGGTCGCGGAGACTGCATTCACGGTAAACGCTGCATATGTCGGTTCAATCAGAAATTACCTTGACATTTTTACACGGATCTTCCGCAATACTTCGGCAATACGGATTGAATCCAGCCCTTTTTTTTTTGTGCAGGTATACAGTTTATGAAGCTTTTCAGTGGCCCATTTACGTAAATGCTGATTTGGTGAGTGGAATAACATGTATGTTTCAGACACGTCCCTGATGTCCTTTTTGAATTTACACGCAATTTGATAAGAAAAAGTGTGGCCAATGAGTTATGCAGAAATATTTACACATTTGAGATGATGCACAACCTCCATTGAGCGATGAACTTATTAAGGTACTGCATTCTCTTGAAGGTACTACTTGTTTTACAAGCTCAATGGATTCTGCAGAGGCTTGAGAGTGTGTCAGTTGCACTTTTGAAACAGAGTATGTGAAATGCCAAAGATACAGTGTTTGGAATGCTGAATAGAAAATACAAAACAAACTCACAATCAGCAAATTATGAAATATACATTTAACACACAGTTGAAATAGTTTTGAAGTGACAATACTGATTTACTAATAATGTTGGTTTTTATTTTAATAATATTTTAAGAATGCTGGAGTAAATGTCTATGGATCAGTTGAAAATACAGTATATGAATGGATTTTTAAAGTGTGATTATTAATTCCTTTATTAAATACTATGTTTGTATGCCTGTGGGTTGTTTTTTAAACTGCTGTGATTGATTCAGCCGTGCTTGAGCTTGTTAGAGCCCTTCAATAAAAAGAGAATGCTTTATGATTAAATGTTTCTTTATAAAATACCTTTTTTTAACAACATCTTTAATTAAGTACAGCACTATCATATTTTTTTTTTTTGCATTTGTAATTATTTTAATCGGCTTAGTTTACAGCCACCTGAGATCTATATGGGCTGTATGGAGGTCTGCATGATTATGCCCAAGGGACACAATACATACTGCCTATCTGATTGTGAATGAAGTGACCTAGTAAGGCCTCAGAGAGGTTGTCTTGCTTTTATATTGGGAACCCAGTCTGTTCAAAAGCATCAGTCAAATGCAATCGGGTCGTTCCACGAAAAGAGTGCCTTTTGCGTCCCTTTGATATTTTAAGTAGAAATTGTGCACTAATATTGCATTTTAAAAGCCTGTTATGTTAAATGAAGTGCCAGTTAGCTAATATAGACATGGAGAATTCAATAAATCAGATTTTTTATATGAATAAAGACTTGCTAGTGCAAAAAATCAGCATTTTGACATGTCCCTCCATGCACCCTCTGTAACTTCTAGGAAGATTTTAACCCACTTAACCCCAACATTTCTCCAAGTTTTCACCATCATTGTAAAGCCCTAGTTATTTCTGAATATTATTATTTATTTCATGTGATTAGTGATTAATTTACATCTGTACCTCATTTGAAGGTCAACCCTGTTACGTGAACTGAACTCTCGTTTTAATATGGTGAAACTATTCATAAAAAGAAAGACAATTTTTCAAAATAAGCATGAAACACCTAATAGTCAAATCATAGGGTACAAGCAGGTGAGCTAGTTCTACTCTTTCTGGCCATTTGCTGTTGTTTTGTGGTGTAAAAGTGAGCGGGTTGAACATAAAACGTCAACCCTGTTACCCATAGATAGACAGGCTAGAAATGTTTTAAGAATTACAAATGCTTTTGTGATGCTTGCATTCAATTGTCACTCCCTGTAGCTTCTATTTTCACTGTCACAAGGGGATGTATGGCTGATTTAAGATTAAATCGTCAACCCTGTTACAGTCGACCCTGTTACTTTATTTGGCACTTAATAGGCACTTACTATAGTAATTTTTTAATTTAATCTCTTGAGATGGGAAAACTTATTTTTTTATGAAGCTCTTTATGACAGAATTTTCAAATTAGGTGAACTCTAAAGTTACCTTTTGAAGAACTTACACTTCTGAAATGGCACTGACTTGGTGGAATGACCCAATAAATGACATGTTTTGCCCTTTGTTGTATGATTTATTTGATCGGTTAATCAAGATTGATTTCATGCGTGATGCATGAGTAGCAGTTACAACTCACAGCATTTTGTTCTAGTTTATGGTGAGTATGCCCATTTTGAGATATGGTTTGGGAAACATTATAGTCACTCAGCCCCTGAAGTAAGAAATATTATAAAACTGACTGGGTAAAACGACAAGTACCCTACAGTGCCTAGTGCCTTCCCTTGGAAGCCAATAGCACATTTCCTGTGAGTCCTTTTTGTTAGTAACTATAGTCAGATTTAATCTAGGATGATTTGTCAATCATTTTCGGTTCATACTAATGTTGTAACATAAATTGCCAATTGCCATAGTCTACTGTATGCCATGGTTGCAGGAAATGATCCAGACCATAATAATCTAATCAAATTGTATTTGTCACATGCTTCGTAAACAACAGTGAAATGCTTACTTACAGGCCCTTCCCAACAATGGAATAAATACACAATAAGTAACGATAATTAGGCTATATACTGTACACGGGGTACAAGTACTGACTCAATGTGCAGGAGTATGAGGTAATTGAGGTAGATACTGTATGTACGTATAGGTAGGGGTAAAGTGACTAGGCAACAGGATAGATAATAAACAGTAGCAGCAGCGTATGTGATTCAGTTAGTGTAAAAGGGGGTCAACGTGGATATTCCAGGTAGCTATTTGGTTAACTATTTAGCAGTCTTATAGCTTGGGGGTAGAAGCTGTTCAGGGTCTTGTTGGTTCCAGGCTTGGTGCATCGGTCCTGCTTGCCGTGCGGTAGCAGTGCGAACAGTCTATAATAATAATAATAATAATAATAATATGCCATTTAGCAGACGCTTTTATCCAAAGCGACTTACAGTCATGCGTGCATACATTTTTTTTTTGTATATGGGTGGTCCCGGGGTTCGACCCCACTACCTTGGCGTTACAAGCGCCGTGCTCTACCAGCTGAGCTACAGAGGACCACTATGACTTGGGTGGCTGGAGTCTTTGACAATTTTTAGGGCCTTCCTCTGACACTGCCTGGTATAGAGGTCCTGGATGGCAGGGAGCTCGGCCCCAGTGATATACTGGGCCGTACGCCGTACCCTCTGTAATGCCTTGCGGTCGGATGCCAAGCAGTTACCATACCAAGAGTTGATGCAACCAGTCAAGATGCTCTCAGTGGTGCAGCTGTATAACTTTTTGAGGATCTGAGGGCCCATGCCAAATCTTTTCAGCCTCCTGAGGGGGAAGAGGCGTTGTCGTGCCTTCTTCAGGACTGTGTTGGACCTAGGACTGTTGCGGTGACCGTATTACAGCCACACCGGTTGTCACGAGTCATGAAGGCTGATTGTCATTAGCAGCCTACCAAACTTGCTAACTGCCTGGTACTCAGCACTCTATTGTCCCTCTAATCACTCTGACATCAATGCAAATGTCTTAGAAATCAAACACTTCATAAGAGCCCATGAGCTCAAGTTGCACAACATTTCTATAGGTTAAGCAATTGAGTGAGAAAACAGTGTTGGCCTCTACTAAAAAGAGGAGGATCCCATCAGCTTTCTATAGGCTAGGCCTACTATATTTATTTCTCAACTTTCCTAATATTAAGCACATTGTTTATCTTTACAACAGGAATATAGCCTACCTGGCTGGAATGAAAATGAACCATGGGAAAAGTGTCCTCCATTCGCTATTTAAGTGCATAGATGACATGTATTTTTTCCCGCTGCCCCTGTTTTGAGACAGGGGCATGATAATGGTCCATTCTAAATCAAAACAAATGTCACACTATATTATTTAGTATATGTAAAGACAAGATTAAACCAAGAATAGTCTGCTGGGTGACAATATTAGCCTATCACTTGTGAATTATATATTATCACTTCTGAATGACGCCCAGCATAAGAAACTGCCTTTTTTTTGGCACACCTCATGTAGCCTAGCCCATAGGCCTATATGTTTTGATAAGGTTTGTATCACAACTAAAGTGGCAAAATAACTTCTTAAAATTAAGCACATTAATCCGCTTTACAAGGGGTTTATAGTCTAAGTGGCATACATAAGCAGCGCGTGAGTTTCACGTTTGGGGAAGATACTTTTCACCATATAAATGCACCTTTATAATAAAAGAATTACATGCATAATCACATTTGCGGTCACTGCCATGTGTGCATTGCTGCGCTTATAAGGTGAAGAAGCCTAATAGTTTATTAACATTTTAAGCTAAATGTTCTGATCTATTGCATCAGCCATTTTGCGTAAAAAAGTTTTTTTTGATGCTAGTGGTTGTATTAATTTTTGGATCTATTGCATCCCACAACTGTCCCAGACTATGTTTGGAATATGTATTTCTTGCACAGAATAGAATAGGTCGACTTTTGTACAATGGGGGATAGTAGATTGACATAGGCTAGTGCTTTTGCTGTTTGTTAGGCCTACTCATCTTGTTGGCTGACGAAAAGTAAATGTGGACAGTTCTTCCAATATCTTCAATATGCACCTTGGAATTGGATAAGGACGCACGCAGTTGCGCATGTCCTTATCTTCACTTGTAGCCTGTGAGAAAGACCCGATCATGTGATGGAGAGCCATGTGCTTAGGAGCGTGCAGCACTCAGGGAGAAGGACACAACGCAGCACTCCGGGCCAAGGGCACCATTGGCAGCAAACATTTTTAGGGTGCATTACGGCCACAAAGGGGATGCCGCCGTGAAATTTAAAGCATTATCAAGTGCTTGTGAAATTGTGAATTAGAGACTAATGAAGAGTGTCCTGCCTGCGCATCATTAGAGTTGCATCATGCAGCCTTACAATGTATTAAAAATCAAAACATAAAGCCCAACGTTAGTAGAACAAATAAAGTTACATTAATAACTATAAATGAAGCATATAGGAGGACAGGTTTCTTTGCTAACAGCTCAACACAGAATAGCTGCATCTGCGCGCTCCCTCAAATCGTTTGGAGAAAATTGTACATTTTATT